AGAGGAAATAAACAAAAATTCCCAAATAAATGAAATTAGCATGAAGAAGTGCTCCTTTGCAACAACCTTGGTTTATGCAATAGCAAGCATAAAACAAAAGATGGCTTCTATACTGTGAGAGGCAACGAGTACTTATCAAAAACATAAATCATCATTAGTAGTACAATTATAGATGGACTTGTAGCTTGATGGCTGACCCAAAAAACAACACTAGGACTGGAGAGCGCCACAAAGTCTCATAACTAATTAAACATAAGATTAAAGATTGTTTATGGAAGATTCGACAATGAACTTTAAATAGATGCATCGTGTGATTATTTTCCTAATTGAGAACATGCAACCTGAGGAGAGAAAACATGTCAGTTCTATAAAATGACACCGTGTCTTTTCTTTTACAAATATCAAGAAAATATGTTGGTTTTCAGTAATATGCTAGAAGATCTATCTCTTCTCCTTTCTCTCTGTCTGCCCCAGAAGCTTTATTTTTCTTCACGACAGACCTCCGTTACCAAGAAGTACAATTAAAACGACAGAGAGAAATTAAGAAACAAATTAAATTATTGTATTCTTAACACTACCACAATTTTCATGGAAATATTTTTCTTCATTCACCTCTACATTAGAGTATAAAATTGCAAAAAAGTAATACTGCTTAGAAAGGATCTGTATATGTGTGTGTGTGTGTGTGTGTGTGTGTGTGTGTGTGTGTGTGTGTGTGTGTGTGTGTATGTGTGTGTGTGTGTGTGAGATACATCTAAAAGAGAAAAATAACTGCTTTACTTTTAACTTTGTGGCCTTGGAACTGTCACATTTTAAGACAACAATATCACATGAGAAGGATAAGCACAAAAGATACTTGTAGAGAAGAAAATAGAAATGGAAAAAATAATCAAATTACCCATATTTGTTATAATAATAATAATAATAATAATAATAATAATAATAACAATAACAAAAAATAATAAGAACACCAATCATAAGAATAACAATATTAATTGTAATAATATTGGCAATAATAATAATCACATCAATAATAGTAATAACAACGAGAACAATAATAATAATAATAACAATAATAATGATAATAACCACAATAATAATAATAAATAACAGTAATAATAATACCAGCAACATAGCTATGGTGATAATAATAATAACAATAAAACCAATAACACTAATAATAACAGTCATGACTGATTATTAATGATGATGATAAACAGTAATAATCATATTCATAATAATAACTACAATCATAACAATAATCATGATAACAAAACTAATGGCAACCATAATCATCACAATAATAATAACAATAATAACAACAATAGCCATCATTATTATAATCATAATAACAAAATATGAAGAAAAGGCACAGACTATATATGAAAGGAAATTTAAAAAATAACATGAAAAACGGCAGAAAGAGAATAAAGATAATAATCGATAAATCATTAATCATCATTAAAGTGTCCATCTTACTGTAATATGTGTTCACGAATACTGTTGTGTGAATAAGAAGGAAGGAAGAAAGAAAGAAAGAAAGAAAGAAAGAAAGAAAGAAAGAAAGAAAGAAAGAAAGAAAAAAAAAAAGAAAGAAAAAAAGAGAAAAAAAGAAGAAAGAATGAAAGAAAGAAAGAAAAAAGAAAAAAATAATAAGAAAAAGAAAAAGAAAAAAAAGAGAGGGAAAAAAAGTAAAATCAACAAAATAAGTTAAATTACCAACATGAACAGAACAGATTATCATCAAAAATAATGATTAATGATAATCATAATAACAATAATAATAGTAATAATAGCAACAGCAAAAATAATAATAATAAAAAAAAATAAAATAAAAATGTAAAAAAAAAAATAATAATAATAATAATAATTATTATTATTATATTTATAATAACAATAATAAAATAATAATAAACTGATAATACTAATGATGATAAATGATAATGATAATAATAATAATAATAATAATAATAATAATAAAATAAAAATAATAGTAATAATAATAATAATAATAACAATAATAACTGAAATTAGAAAACAATATTGACATCAACAAATTATGATTAATAATAACAACAATAAAAACAAAAACTGAAATTAGAAAAAAAAAATTTTAGTAAATAATGATTAACAATGTTAATACTAATACTAATAATATCAATAATATAAAAATAATAATAACTGACTATAATCAAAATGACAATGATAACAATAATAACACTAATGATAAATTATGTCAAAAGATAACAATAATAATAAAAATAATGATAATGATATTAATAATAATAGAAATAGTAATAATAATAATAATGATACTGATGATGATGATGATAACAATAATAATCATATTCATAATAATAATAATAATAATAATAATAATGATAACAATAAAAATAATAATAATAATAATAATAATCATAATAGTAATAATAATAATAATAAAGATGATAATGATGATGATGCCGATAATAATAATAATAATCTTTATTACTATTATCATTATCATAATATTAGTATTAATAATAATAATTATCCTCTCTATCATCATAATAACCATGGTAATAGTAATAGCATTAATAGTAATGATTACAATAATCACTAATATTATTACAATAATCATTATTATAATACTGATAATGATGATAATAATAACAATCATAATGTCAATACTGATAACAATTATAATAATAATAACAATAGTGATGATAATAATAATAATAATAATAATAATAATAATAATAATAATATTAATAAAAAAATAAACATCTGCCAATTGAAAGAATTCTTGTGCCAATTACATAAAATTATATCAGAAGTCCTGCAGATATATACGAGGAATATATAAATGGTCTTACTTTATCACAATGTTTTTTTTTTCTCTTCATTATTGTGAGTCATAAATAAAGCATAAAAGAGGAGATACTCAAAAATACTGAACACTGGAAATTTTATAATAGATTAAAATTGCAAAATTCAAAACAAAAATCTCTCATATTTCTTTGACGAACACACAAAGTCCTTGTATAGTAACATTATTGTATGTTAATGACTATTAGAGTCCTTTTTTCCTGATTTAGCTTAATAGAAAAAAAATATTTACCTTCCTATACATTTTGTAGTCTTTTATAAAAGAGAAAGTAAAAAGAAAAAGGGAGGAGAAGAAGATGAAGAAAACTATCCTATTTCACAACATACAAAAATAATAAACCATCTCTCTTCTGATGATTATTTTATCTTTTCCTTCTTACCAATCTAAGATACTTTCATCAGTGTAAAATTCCTTTCTGTTTAAGGTTCTGTTATGCCTAAAAAGATCACTTACAGTTAAATTCAATTGTGAAAAGAAAAGAAGGAAAAATGAGAGAGAGACAGAAAAAAAAACTTGTCTACCAAATCAATCATTTGTGTATAAATGCTCATAAAAAAGAGTAACAGCATCGCCTAAAACCCTACCTGCCAATCTTCAACGCTGCCTAATCCAGGACTATTTTTCATCTCTCTGTTTGCCTCAGCAGAACCATATGAAAAGACAAGGGAACATAAAAAACAAAAACAAACTGTTATCAACAAAACATAGGCTTTTTTTTAAATATCATTTACAATGATTCTGCTAATCGAGCCACAAAACAATTATACATTTATAAAAACATGTTTCATTTAGGGAAAAAAGCTGCTCACTTCTTAATCATAATATTCAGATCTGAATAAGCATAAAATATAAACACTCTAATTACCCTAAAGAAAAATACATACCAAAAATATATATGTATATTTAATTACTTTTATAAGGCTATATAAACCCGACAGATGAAAAGGAGAAACAGGTAATCTCAAGTGTGTCATGGTGAAAATGATAGGAATCAAGAATTTCTCCTTGAATTGGAACACAGATCACAAAACGGAAGAAAACCTGGCATAAGGTCTATTATATATTCATCCTACTACCTTTTAACTAGTTTGTTTGGTTTTCATTATCGACTAGAAGCATGAACACTAACTTTGGTATGACCCCCCCCCTTCTTTGATTTGCAGAAATGTAAAATAGCATAACAGAACGGCAGAAAATACTTCACTTACGCACTTGCATAAAAACTGTGATCTATTGTCATTTTATTATAAACTGAATCCACAGCATCCTGGCAAAAAGACGACAAAATGAGGAATGATGTGTGGTTTCAAGACAAAATGGTCTTCAGTTAAACATAACATAAAAGAAATGTAACATAATTTTTGTATAACATTTTCCCATACTAATCAGATGAGTAGCATGATAACAATGTATTTATTACTGAGAATTAAAGCCATCTCTCTTCATAAAATGAATAGCGCAGACTCATAATGAAAGAGACGGCAAAAATAACACGACACTGTACCAACTAAATATCCAATGAGACACCAATGCTTGTGGCTAGTAATGCGTGTTGAGTACGAATATCGTTATTAGTGTCGAGGATTGGCCACATTTCAGCAAGAGCAGCTAGTAGATTCAGTCGCGTGGCTGTGCTCAGCTGACACAGGCACAGTATCTTGGTTACACTCTGCACCACTTCTAAGACACCACTTGGCACTGCTTCATGGAGAACAGCACCATTCAACAGTAACTGAAATAAAAAATGTAGTATTTCATGATGAAATGACTGTAAGTGACACAAGATAAAAGGTAGGAAACAATAGTGGTGGGCATAATTGACTACTTGTAATCAATAACATCAATTACAACATGAAATTTCTCAGTAATCAATTAAAATTTCCAATAACTGATTACCAAACGATTACTCCTAGAATCAATATATTTCAAATTATCACAATTCACAATGATTTTTTTTCTTTTTCTCTACATGGTATTTCTTGTACAAAAAAGCTTGGTTATGAAGTAATGAGTATTTCTTTTATTTAAAAAATTAAGCTGAATATTTATTCACCTTGATCCTTCATTTACGTTATCTCACACACACACATGCATGCACGCAACCATGAATGTATACCTTATACTCTACAAATATACCATTGTGTACTCTACTGACAGGTGAAAGTAATCAAAGTAATCAATTGCATAAAGAAAATGAGAGTCACCTTTCACTATAAAACACAAGAATCACATAACAGATTACTTTGTGTGTGTGTGTGTGTGTGTGTGTGTGTGTGTGTGTGTGTGTGTGTGTGTGTGTGTGTGTGTGTGTGTGTGTGTGTGTGTGTGTGTGTGTGTGTGAGTGCGCGCGTGCGTGCGTGCGTGCGTGCGAGCGTGCGCATGTGTGTGACTGAGCAAGAATCTGCAAGACTTTTCCTGGTGTATTATTATGTACCTAACTTTCACTCTAACCTTTTTTCAAAATCTGTGATATTTCCTCTCATTCTGACACATGATACAAATAAAAGTATCAAGAATATGGGAAAATATGTTGAATCAAACAGACTAAGCAACTGAAAGCATTATAATAACATTTTTTACAGAAGCTCTTCACAAACAAATAAAATCTCACCTGTCTGGAAACTACAATCATATCATCATCAATATTTTTGTTGGCGTCTTTATTCAAGTTGGGCTCAATTATCATCTCTAGATACTTGAGGACAGGTGCTGCCAAGACCTGAAATGAAAGATTCTGAATTAAGTAACAGACGCTATCAATTAACTTTTTGTGGTAATATAAAACTGGACACAAGTTATGTTTCACACAACCCTTCCCAAGAGATAACTCTGTAATACTGTAAGTATCTCCATATCTTCACTCTAGTTGAGGCCAAGTCTGCCTTGTCAAAGGTGTTCCTGACTTCAAATCTACTTGTAGGCTGGTACTACCTTTTCTTGCAGAGAACTCAAGGACCAGCCTGCATGCACTTGTTTGAGGTCATGGTTTATACATGGGCTGAATGATTAGTGACTGCTCTCACTTGTCAATGCAGCTCTTTAACCCTTCCCGACAGGTCACGCCTATAGAAGTGAAAACAAACCGCTCGAAATGTGGTGTGCGGCTGTACGCTACCACAGCGTGCCAAAGCACAGCGTGCCAGAGCACAGCGTGCCAGAGCACAGCGAGCCGGGGATTCTGCCTGATGTACAGAACTCCTGTGTTCAATGCCATTGACTGCCAGAGTGTAGAGTTTTTTTTAGTTTTCTTAACCCATCACCAAGGGGTTAAAGGGCAAGGGTAGCCAAAACTCTCTCCTCATTCCAACCATTTCTGCTGCCAAACCTGCTTGGCTTTTTTTAGAATGTGCGAAATCCTCACTCAAGGTAGATAAGTTCTCAGGAAATTCTGCATTTACTGATTTTTGTTTTTTGATATATATGTACTATGGTTGGCCTTTCTTATCTTTTTACTGAGGAATCTGGAGTCTTTGTGACTTTTCAAACTGTCGGGTTAATGGCATATGTAGTTAGATAAGTGCCTTTACATTATCAGTCATTGGGGCTTCACTACTTGTGAGTCACTGAGATATGGCATTCTGGAAGGCTTGCCTGTTGGCTTTATCAAACATCTATCTCGGATTATCTTTTGACATGTGAGGGTAAGGAAAACTTATGGTCTCTCATGACTGTCTAAACACAACTCAATCTCTCATTTACTGCCACAATGGCAAAGATAAAGGCCAAGACCCCATCTTACCATGAAGTGATACATGATCATTCAGAAAATTAATCTTGGGGCAAGTCATACACATCTAAGCTATGTGGTAGACTGATGCACCACTTCTCCAAGTTAGAGACAAGACAGGGTGGCATGTAGAGAAGCCTCCCAGAATCTGCATTACAATAGCAATACTATAATACTGTCATAAAATGAATGAATGAATGAAAAAAAAAGCACAGATATAAGCATCTAATAAAATCAGTGGAGAATAGAAAGATAAAAAAAATAATAAAAAAAATGAGACCAAGGATAAGGCCACATGCACACAGTTGCATTACCACTTCACTCCACCTCCTCCTTACTACCATGCTTCCCTTCCTTGGGTTATCCCAGCTCAAGAACATGCACACTACCACTACCTAGCTTTTCTTTGACTTCATCACAATCAACCAGTTCCCCACACAACTGAATTTACTTATCAATAGAGTCTTTCAGGTTAATTTTCATCCACTCTTGCTACAGATTTACAACCATCAGCACAATTTCCCAGTCAATCTAATGATGAACAGTAGGCACATCTTCATCAACATTTATCCATTCCTGTATTGACTGGAGCAAAAACTGAGGCTAAATGGCAGTAAGTATAATAAAAATGTACAAAAGACAAGTAGTAATGCCTTATCAGTGTATCTGTATGTATGTATATCAATTTAGAGCATAAATGTTGTCCATTGTGATCGTCTGCAAGTGCTGCCATCAAAATCTAACTAATGAATTAGGTGTCTGTTGATACTGCAATTTTTGTGATGTTAACAATGTATATTTTGGCATGTGTGCCTTATGAAGTGTGTTGGGTTTCACATAATATACTACAATATTGAAGTGCTGAATAAAAGTTGTACTGAAGCTATGTGTTTCATATCACAAATCTCCTGAGCTCTTCTCTTCTAGACTCCTTCAGGGCAGTTAGCTTTGTTTGGAAAAAAGTAAAACTCAGTTCTTAATAAATGGACTTTCAGAATGTAATTAATGATATGGGTATTGCATATATAGGTGAGTCTGTATAACATTTCCACTAAAGCTTTCAATGCATTTATCCTTGCATTACAGGCTTCTACTTGATGTTATGCAATGCAGGTATTCCATATTTAGTTTGGCTGCTAGTAATGTCACAAATATACAGGAAATTAGCATTAAATCATCCAGCAATGATCACTGCAAAAGATCTGCCACAATTAGGCAGTAAGCTTGGATCCTCACAATGTGAGAGATTTTGAAAAGCCCACTGTCTTTACTTTACTACTTTTGTGCTGGTTTCTGAAGATACCTTTGTTTGTAACAATTTCCAGGTTATTACATAGGAGCAGTGGATGCACAACAGTATGTCTTAAGCGTACGTGCACAACTGAGGTCTAAATTTGTACCTGCTGATTTGTAACAGCTTGTAACCTAAGAACAAGATGTTAGAATGCCAGAACATGTACACATGTAAAAAAAACATATTTTCCTATTTTCCCCTTTACAAATGATAATTTAACCTTACAAAATAGTCTTTATGCCTGGTGTTACTGTTTGCATCACATTCACATCGTACTGACATCCTGCTTTACAGTGGAGTGAGAAATACTCAAACAAAACTGAAATGAACAAGAAACACATAAAACACATACAGAGGAAGTGGTGTATATATGTGGCCAATTCACACACTTTAGGGCATAATATCTAGGTAGATTAACCCAATACCGCATGTACATACATGCCATGCCGTTCACCCTTTTCATCGATTTACGAAAATATTTAACGTTATCCTAATTTGCTGTTAAAAATAACACCATCTATATTTATAGCACTAGTAAGAATACGTTTTTCCCCGCCAATTTAAGGAAAGGTGAAATCAGGACTAGCAGAGCCATCTATGGACAGAGGTATTTCACAAAAATATAAAAAATGAGTACTGCATTTCCCCCATTTTTTGTTCATTTTCCCCAGCGGCAATGGGTTAAAGAGCACGCCAATACAGTGGACTCCCAGAAATGACACCAATTGAAGATGCAGCCATAACCCTTGTAATGATGAGGTTACACTTACTTTAAAAGGAGTATTCTGCTCTGACTTCACGTGATAAAAGACCTCACCAAGGAACAGCGCAGAGGTTACAAAGTGTGACCAATCTGAGACTGCTAACTCATCTTTTTCTGGTTAAAAAAAAGGAACTAATCATCTTAATTGCACAAAGAAAATATCAAGTTATATAATAAGTTTTCACTGATATATATGTTTCAAAGTTACAAAACTGAAGAGGGGATCTGAAATGAAGGAAGCAGAGACAGAAAGAAAAATAGAAAGAAAGAAAGAAAGGAAAGAGAAAAAGAGAAAGAGAGAGGGGGGAGGGAGGGAGAGGGGAGAGAGGAGAGGAGAGGGAGAGAGGGGTGAGAGGATGAGAGGGAGAGAGGGGGAGAGGGGGAGAGGGAGAAAGAGAAGAAGAAGAGGAAAGAGAGAGAGAGAGAGAGAGCTGTAGAGAGGAAGAAGAGTAAAGGGAGAAAGAGTGTAGAGTGAGAGAGGGGAGAGGAGAGAAGGGAGGGGAGAAGAGACGAGAGAAAAGAAAGAAATGAAAGAAAGAAAGAAAGAAGAATAGAAAGAAAGAGAGAAAAGAGGGAGGAGGGAAAGAGAGGGGGAAGGAGTGAGGGAGGGGAAAAAAGAAGAAAGAAGAAAGAAAGAAAGAGAGAAAGAGAGAGAGAGAGAGAGAGAGAGAGAAAGAGAGAGAGAGAGAGAGAAAGAGAGAAAGAGAGAAAGAGAGAAAGAGAAAGAGAAAGAGAAAGAGAAAGAGAAAGAGAGAGAAAGAGAGAAAGAGAAAGAGAGAGAGAGAGAATGTTGTTAGTGAGTGAATGAGGAGTGAGGGAGGAAAGAATGAAAGGAAAGAAAGAAAGAAAGAGAGAAAGAGAGAGAGAGAGAATGTTGTTAGTGAGTGAATGAGGAGTGAGGGAGGAAAGAATGAAAGGAAAGAAAGAAAGAAAGAGAGAAAGAGAGAGAGAGAGAATGTTGTTAGTGAGTGAATGAGGAGTGAGGGAGGAAAGAATGAAAGGAAAGAAAGAAAGAAGAAAGAAAGAAAGAAGAAAGAAAGAAAGAAGAAGAAGAAGAAGAAGATATGATATTCCAAAAGCAATGCAAGGGGCAGGCAGATTTTGTATATTGTTGTATTCTTTTAATATCTTAGCATAAACACTAAAAATAATATACCCAATGTTTTGATTATAGAACAACAGACTTACATACAAACAGAAACAGTCCTCAAAATCACAAAAATGTACATGAAAATGGGAAGATATTGTTGGATTATAATCACAAGAACCAACTACAAGTTACTGTCCCTATCATATATCAAAAAATCATCTACCCCTAACTGTACTAGCAAAAGAAATAATGATGGGCCTGCAAATTCTAGGAATGAATGCTTTGTTTACAGCAACAAAGGTGGAGAGAGAGAAAAGAAAAAAGAAAAGAAAGAAAGAAAGAACGGAAGAGAGAAAAAAAAACTTTATTTTATAGATATGTATATACATATACATATATATACACACACACATATATATATATATATATATATATATATATATATATATATATATATATATATATATATATATATATATATATATATATATATATACATATATATATATATATATATATATATATATATATATATATATATATATATATATATATATATATATATATATATATATATATATATCAAACTTCATGCTGACAGCCTCAAACAACCACCCTAAAGAAAATTTATAAAGGAAAATGTTATTTCTTCATGGGGGATTAACTTTGTGAGTGTGAGTGTGAGTGTGTGTGTGTAAAAGATCTAATGGAAATAATATTCACTTTAGCTCCTCTTCTTCATTCATGGTAGATTTAATCTCAGAAGCAAGATCTTGGAGTTGTAGATCATCTGGTGATTTGATTTTCAAGATGCTTTCTACTATGGTCTTGGCTCTGGTAGTATCACCACCACTATCTGTGAATATGGAAAATGCTTAGTTTATATGGTGAAAGCATATTAATTTTCATATTAACCTTAACCCATTTGTCCCGGATTTATGTTCTGTCCCCTGTAGTTTTTGGTGAATTTTGTTACATACAGATGGCTTCTCATGTGCTCAGCTGGCAAGGAGTCTATCAGTAGGCCCTAGTTACCGACCTTGATTTTCCATTCATTGAATTGGCGGGAAAATTAATACCGTTGCTATCGATACTGTTATTATTGTTATTGATGTTATGATTATTAAATTGTCATTAGAATATTTTAGACAATGAAATGATACAAAAAAAACCTTTCCTAGAGTGAAGGAAAAGGTTAAACAGGTGAAATAGGTAGTTCTTGACAACTGGCTATTTGGTGATTAAGAACTTGTGGAGCCATCTATGTGTAAGTACAATAAATAAACGTGTATCAAAGTGGGTATGGCATCTATTCTTGCCACATGGGGCGAATGGGTAAACTGTGGGTGCTACAGGTAAATTCAAATCATCAATCAAAATATCATATCTCCTTTCTCTATCTCTCTTAATCAAACACTAAGGAAACTGTTCAACATCATTCAGTGACTTACTGACTGGTCCCGGCCTGCGCAGTGCTTCTCCTTGTCCAACAGTCATTCCGCGACCTCTTCCAGCCTGTGGCATTCTTAATACTGAATCTGCAAAGGAGAGGAAAAATGCAAAGATTGAACATTCATAATGCAGATATTTTGCAATACTGCCTTGGAAGAGTATCAATAATAAATGGGTAAATGTAACAGTCTATACTGCTATACTAGGATAGCAGTGTCCACACACTATCCAACTACTTAAGGGAATGCTATCTTAAATCAGATGTATATGTCAGAAGGCTCAGAACAATGAACTGAACAATCTTCTATATCTTCTGATTCAATTTACAAAAATAATGATATCTGCACATCAAAATCTGCAAAGAGCGAGTTGCAAGCATCGCAATTATATTCCAGGGTCCTGTGGGAGTACTAGTAGAGTTTGCATTAATCTTCTATACCAAATGCATGTCTAAATGCAAAATACATCCTTTGGTAGAAAATATTGGTAGAAAATATTGGTAATACAATTTTTTTCTACACAATTACCCTCATGATGCCCTTTTCTTTAGAGAAGGGTATTAACTTTATTTTTCAAGTAAACCCAAATGGGATATTTTTTTCAACCCCCATATGGAATACTTTCACTGATATCAATCTTACTTAACCCTTTCTACTTTCAAGACCAATTCTATTTACTGCCTAGAGAAAATACTTAAGAAGTTAAACTGGAGAGGACATAAATCCATTGGATCCAGGTGACATGACATTCACGTCATAAAAAAAGGGTCTGAGAGCTGGATGACAGGAAAATGCCGTCGTGGAAAAATCTGTATGAGGGCCAGGGTGACAGGAATGTGCTGTCATGAAATATTCAGCTGAAGGCCAGTGTAATGGGAATGACTCACCATGAGTGTACAAAGCTCTTGAAGGAAGATTAGAGTGCTTGTGTGGCCGGGCCTACAAGCCACACACCCTGGAGATTCGCCACTCGAGTAAGCCTATTGCCTAGATTTTAGTCTATGTGATCCAAAGGGTTAAAATAGGGCACAAACATTTAAACAATCTCCGCTTTGCTGCTGATACTGTTCTCTTTAGGCAAGTCATAAACCAAACTGCAACTATCTATAATATATAATATATAACTAAAGAGAAAGTCTGAAAGCTGAAATTAAGATAAGTGGAAAAAAGACTTATATATATATATATATATATATATATATATATATATATATATATATATATATATATATATATATATATATATATATATATATATATATATATAATATGTATATGACATATATATTTTTTTGTGTGTGTGGTT